TTGCTGGCTGAGCGTGTAAGTTAACCTATTCCTATTTATATGTGTTATATTTTAATAATTCTTTGCTTTCATAGAAATTCAGAGGCTGGCAGTTTGCCAAGATTGCGATCCTTTTAAAGATAATTGGCCAGAAGCTGAATACAATTGAAGTTTGGCGCTATCATCCGGGCTTGACCACGCAATTCATGCTCAACCTGGAGCACAAGCTCTCTGATAACTATGCCGACCTGGCCAAGGTGTTTTCGGAGCACGCCTTCATGGAGGCTGAGTTCTGGCTGACTGCTTTTTATTTACATCCAACACGCAGCAGCTACTTTGAAGTCAAACGTTGCTCGCGCATTAAAAAGAAGCGAAAGGATGACGAGGAAGTTGTCTCTAGCAAAGCTGGCGCACGTCCTGATAAATTAGAGCATCATATCAAATATGAGCTGTTGAGTTCAACGATTGATGTTGATGAAATTGTTGCCATTACCAATCATAATGCACCTGTAGCTGATTATGATCCAATCTCCAAGGCGCTGCAAACACTGCGCCTGCCGCGCAGCATACTCAAGGACCTGCTCACGGTGGCCTTTCAGCCACGTAACAAACGCTACTCCTGGGCATTGGAATGGAATACTTTGCACGAACGCTGCAGCGCCCTGTTGAAGAGCACGGATCTGAAGCAAAAGTTCGTGGCCTTAAACATGGCGGAGGCCAATGATGATCTAAAATATTTGAAAATCGATTATGAAAAGTATAAAAATCGGCCTCAATTGGACTATGGCACCATCGAGGAGGGCTACGAGAATGCTGTGAGCACAGCTGACGGAGATGCTGAACTGAGCGCCGATGAGGATGAAGAGGCGCAAAAGCCACCTCGGGAGAAGAATGACCGGGACAGGAAGCGCCACCGAATACCGATTAAGTTCTGGAAGGAAGGTAATTAAGACAGATATACATACTATCAGTTGTAGTTATATTGACTCAATACTATGCTCAACAGTTTCTGAGGATGAAGATGAGGAGGAACAGGAATCTGACGAATCTGAGGCTTACTATACAGGCTCTGGAAGGCGCACTCGTTTTCGAGCAGCTGCCCTCGTGGCCAATACGATGATCAGTGACATGGATAGAGCCATGCGCAGTGGACGTCGTTCTCCTGCTGCCGAGCCACCAGCAGAGCCGAAGACCCAGGAGGCCGAGCAAGCGGTGCCCGAAGCTGAGACACCGAAGCCACCGCCGCCAGAGGAATCAAACGTGCCGAAGCGTTCCATTGGTGAGCTACTGCAATCGCAGGCTAAGTACACGAACGAAACTAGCGGCTTCAAAGCGTTTTCTGACATTTGGAGCTTCGAGAAGGTCGAACAGCTCAACGTGGAAGTGGATGACAATGTGCTCATGGAGAGTAATTCGCTGCTGAGTAAATTCAAAAGTTTGCAGGGCTTAAGACGGAACACATCAGCGACGACGACTCAGCTAGAGACGAGCAGGGAGAAGGCGTGCTCACGCACCAGCAGCCGTTACAACAGTGAGACGGACAGCTTGGAGTCTGGAGCATCGATGATGGCCATGCACGATGCGAACGAGTTCGAGGAGGGACAATCTGAATCTGTAACTGGCGTAAGTAAAGTGTTCACGCCCCCGCCGGCCCCAACTTCCGATTTTACAATGGAGACAGAAGTGTTGCAGCTCAGAGGAAAGTCTTTAACCGAAGAAGATGAGGCGGCCGCCAAAGCAATGCCGGGTGCCTTGGCGACGGAGGAGCGGACGGTAACGGACGTTGGGACGGAACCGGCGAATCAGCCAGAGATAGAGAAACAACCAAGCAATGAAAATGTCAAGCGATTCAAAACAAATGCTAGTTCAAGTCAGGAGCCAAGCTCATCCGTGAGTTCAGTTAGCGATGCGGATGCGCGACTGATTCAGGAGTGCTTGAGCCGTCAGGTGGAGGTGCGTCTGCACATGCTCTCACCACAGGACATTGAGCAGCTGCGTGGACTGAGGGTGCGCGTAAAGCGCACGAATCTCCACCACTATTACCGGGAATTGAAAACACAACAGGAACACAGCAGATCCTCGTCGACAAGCAAGCAGAGCCACACTGACGGCAGCAATGCCTCCACACCCACTTCGGAGCTGCAGAGTGAGTGCGCCAGCAGAAGCAAAGTCAAGAAGGAGTTTGTGCATATAACATCCGATTCGGCTGAGCCTAAGGCTGAGCCTAAGCCTTCGGTGCAATTGAAACGCTTTAAGCACATCACTTCCGATTCGTCCACAGAACCGGATGAACCGGCGCGTCCAGCCTCTCTGCGACGACGACGACGGAGTAACAGATGGAGCCAGACGAAAATCAAAGTGAATCCGCCAAAGTTAGCGAAGGTGAAGCACGTGACGGGCGATACGGATGTCATCGAACTCTCCTCGGAGTCGACGTCATCGTCGCAGTCGCCTGTGCCCGTGACCGTGAGCCGATTCCCAGCTATGGTGGTGCCTTTGGAATTGGATCCACTCTATGAGGAGGAAATCGTACCTTTCTGAAGATGGAAGGCATTTGCTAAGCTGATGCTGGTTTCTCTCTCTCTCTCGCTCTCGCTCCCCCGCTCACACACATGGCCCGGAGCTACGTGACTGGAGCGAATGCAGTCGGGGTTGCACGCCACACACACACACACACACACACACACACACACGCACAGGCGCAGGCACAGGCACACAAGGCAGGGACAAGGATTGGGCACACACAGGCAGCTTGTTAAATTGAATTTGCGTCGCTTGTTAGAATGCAATTTGCCCGAGGCACACATACATGTATATTTGTCGATGCGAGTGTATTTGCTTTGGCTCGGACGGTGTTAGGATGTTTGATGAAATTATATATGTACAGAAGCCAGTTCATGGACAGGCACAAAGCTGGCATGGCTTTTATTTAGTTAACACTGCCTCGAGGCTATGTCTGCTTGTGTGTGTGTGTGCGTGCGTGTGCGTGAGTCTTGGGCGACAATTGCTGAGAAATTGAATGCGCCAGCTTCCATATAATAATTCACATACTTTCATGCTAACCTAATAAGCGCTCACACTTCAATTAACTGTATAATTGATACGCATTATGCCTACTCAAAAACCTTCAATTAGCCACACGCGTCCGATCGACGGCTGCCACTTGAGCCACCAACAACCAACACTGACAACAACAACAACAACAATAACAACGCATACACACACGCGCACACCCACCGACACGTGGCGCGTGGTGTGAATTTCGGTGGCAACATTTGAATTGCTGTAAGCCACATCCGACAAGCGGCGATTGCTTGGCTTACAATCTTTGCTTTGACAAGAATATCCTGTGGCTTATCTCATAGGTGTTCGAAAACGAAAAACCTCAACTGCTTAACTCTATTGGCTGCGTTTCTCTGGATTCTTCAGACTTATACAAACAAATGTGACCAAAAATGTAAATAAAGAAAAAGTATTAACAATGAAATTTTAAAATGTAATTATGTATTTATATAT